TGGTGGTGGTGGTGGTGGTGGTGCTGCGGGCCGATGAACCGGCGGCAGTTGAACAGCTCGCTGCTCATGGCCTCTCCCAGGAAGTCCCCCGGCCTGGGCAGGCAGGGCGGCTCCTGGGGCCCCTGGCCCATCTGAGACGGGCTGATGTCCTCCGGCTGCTGCTGGGGCTCCATCGCCTCGGCCCGCACCGATGACGACGAAGAGCAAGCATCCAGCAGCCGCAACCGGCCCTCTAAAGAAGTCGACGCCGCCGTTACCATGACAGCGGACGTCTCCGGGCTGAACTGGAGGACTTTGGTTTTGGCTCCTCCCCCTGACCCGATGGGGCCCACGCCGTGAGCCGACCCCTCGCCGAGCGCCTCCCCGGCCTTCCTCTTCCTCGTCTCGGTGTGCCCCTCCTTCTGCTGCCCGTCCTCGGCGTTGGACGCGTTCCCTTCGTCGTCGTCTTCCTCGTCGTCGTCCTCGTCCTCCTCCTCATCCTCCTCCTCGTCCTCCTCCTCCTCCTCCTTCAGGGCCTCGCTGTCGGCCATGTCGTCAGAGTGCAGCTCGCTGCCGGGGCTGCCGGCTGATTGGCTGGCGCGGCTGGAGGCGGCCTCGTTGCTGGAGGCCTCGCTGCGCCCGCTGCTGCTGCCGGGGCCGCTGCTGCCCTCCTCCACGCTGTTGGCCGTCTCGTCGGAGCTTCCCTGCATCGACTCCTGGACGAACGACAGAAACAGCCCGTTGCTATGGAAACGACTCAGAGCTTTTCTGGCTCAGTGAAAGGGTTAAATTTAGGACTGAAACGATTAATCGTGATGAATCGATCATTCAAATAGTCGTTAACTAATTTAGAGATTGTTAACAGGGTGATTAATCAATAATTGTTAAAATTAAAATGAGATCAATAATTTCCATTCGGATTTTCTTTTTTTTATAGACACTTCGTTTTACAGAATCTTCACAATTCATTTTACTTATGATTTCTGTTGTGTGTGTTTTTATTTCCGTTTTATTTATTGTTTATTGCTGTTATTTAAAATATAAACAACAATATTAGTTTGTGAAAACACAAACTATTCTCTAAACATGCATTATTATTCCACTATCTATATATTACAATTTCAAAAAATCTTTTATTATTTATTGCAATAATTTTGGGACAATTTATCGTCAAGCAACATTTTTTATGGTGACAGATCTAACTGGAACATACAGACTCAACTCAAAAATACTAATTAAACCAAAATTGTACACAAAATATAAACATTTTTGCATTTTTTAGCTTCATCTGGTTCAAATAATCTCCTATTAAGCATCTTTAGCTGTCCAATTATTAATCGGTTAATCAAAACAAACAAAAAAGAAGATTAACCGTTCACTGTATTGATATTCAATCAAACATGTTGATGTTAGAAGTATTTGTTACAATTTGCTGCAAATTATCAAGCATAAATAAAGGAAGCTGTTATTGCATTTTAGGCAATAGAATGATTATTTTCTCAATCAAAAGTGGAATTTAATTCTTTGCTTATTTGAATCTTTTAATGTATTCCTATTATTAAGTTGGTTGAATGAAAAATCTGCAGAATGTGCTAATTTTCTATCTGATTAATCGCCAGAATAACCAATTACTAAAATAATTGTTAATGCCGCATGTTTAGAAGCCAACCTCGGTATCTGAGAGCCGCTGCTGGCTCCTCTTGTTGCTGGGCACCATCATCTGATCGTCCATCTCCATGTCGCTGCCGCCGCTGTGCTGCGTGTCGCTGTTATCGCTGCTGTCCGGACTGGCAGCCGGAGAGCCTGGAAACACAGAAAACAACCAATTTAAATAATAAAAAACTCTTTTTTTAAAAACAAACTGGGTTTGATCAAACTTGTAAAGGTCAGTTATGACCATCCTCGCTTTTTACAGCATGTTAAGATTATTGTGGTACAAAAGTATGTGTATTTTTCAGTCCTTGTTCATATGCGTGATTTTATACTTCTATCAGATTCAAATCATATTCTCAAAATGGTCTGTATTGTCAGAAAATATAATTAGAAGCAGTTACTTTGTGTAGTTTAGTGATACCTCACACTCACATGATTTTTTTTCCAGTTTTTTGTTTTTAGGTTTATGATTCATGTGCCATGCAGTCACAGCTACACAATTACCTAAAAAAGCAGCAATAAATAGTGATCACAGCTTTTATTGTCATCACATTACTTCAAAGTATGACAACAAAACTTTTTTTTCATGATTTCATAATTGTAATTAGTTTTCATCCTGATTTACTACATCTGGCTCCTTGTGGCACAGAATAATGATGAATGTCTGACGTCACTGAGGTAAAGGTTGGATGAAATACAGCTATAAAAATTATCGATTTAGTTCCACATCAGGAACTAAAACTCAGCTCAGACGTTTTGGGGGGTGAGAAGATCAAACTGCCATGAAAAATGTGGGTGCAAGTCACATTTCCCTCCTGTGTGAACTCAGTCTAACGAACAACAGCTGTATCTGTACAGACATTAAATTACACAAACACAACAATTATTTTATTCATCCTGCATTTTTTATGTATTGATTGTGGTAAACTTTTGTTTTCTGTGCTTTGTTCTGTTTAAATATGTAACCAATATGTTTTTTAAAAGATAAAAAAAATCATAATTATTCTAATTTTTTGATGGAAGAAGCCTGATAGCTTGTTTTTATTGCACTGTGATGTACTGCATTAGCTTGAGGGTCTACAGATGAAAAGCAGCCCAACTGTGGCATACTTTGTAGTGTGCATTGCCCCTTTTGAAATAAATAAACAACAATAATTAAGCCAGTTCTGACGACAAGAGGCTGCGCTGGATTTAAGTTTGAGCTATAATTCAGAAAAACACGCACCTCTTTACTTTCACCTCACAATTCAGCCCAACTCTGTGTTGGTCCACCACATAAAATCTCATTAAGATGCATTGAAATTTGTGGCAAAATGTAAAAGGTTAAATAGAGGAGAATATTTTCCCAATGAATCACCATTGATTGAAGACAAGGATCCAGACTGACCTTTCTTGTTCCCCATGGGGAGGTTGGTGTTCAGCAGCGAAGCAAAAGAGCTCTGTTTGGAGAGCTGGGCCTTGGCTGCAAGAGCGTTGTTCCACAGAGCCTTTATCAGCATGGAGGCCAGGTACAACGTCTGGGTGGAGGGGGGGGACAGGAGCGCATCAGGATTTCACAGTTTTGAAGCAGTTTGACGCAGCTTACAGAGAGCATCTGTGCCTGTAGAGTACCTGCTCAGTGTGGGCGCTGGGATGCAGGCCCGACACCAGGTTCAGGACGTGACGGAGAGGCACTGGGTCCAGGTTCTTTATTAACGACGGGAAAAGGTCATGGATGTAGCGGCTGCAGTGTTTCAACTGAAAGCACAAAAAAGAAAGCTGTGAAATATGATTGAGTGTGAATTGATTAATCGTGACAATTGATTGCTGAAATAATAATCAGCTAAATTGGGAATCAATTCATCGTTAACAGGAGTATACAGGCTCTAAAATATGGTAGCTGGAAAAGAAAAAAAAACACTCAAAGAAGTAACTAGGTCAAAACTGTAGATTAAAAATCGAAAGATTTTGCATTTTATATGGAAAAACCTTCTTTGCTCTTCACAGAAATCCTCAAGTGTCGCAGTTTTAGTTTTACCTGGTTCAAATTCTGTTTAATATCCTATTAAGCATCTTTTAATCTCCAGTTATTAATAAGAAACATTGATCAACAGATTAGCCCTACACTGCATTGATGCTAAGTGAAGCAGAAACGTCTTTATTTAGTTGCACATGCATTCTTTGCTATGTTTTGTTTTCCTTTTTAGAAAAAGTTATTGAATTATTTGTTTATTTGCATTTTTAAGAACTCTTTAATGGTTTATATAAAAAAAAGCTTAAGTGGATACATGAAAAATCTGCAGAATGCGCCACGTACTCATTAGCTTCAGTCGTAGTGAAAATAAATTACATTTAAATAATCCACAGCCACACAGCACTACTGCTGCGTTAGTAAAAGCTGCAGGTTAGCGGTCATGTGAGAATCTGTTTCTTCCTACCTGAGCTGCAGCCCAGATACAGTCTATATGCTGCGTGCTGAGCCGGCCCTCCGCAGCCAAGAAGTTCAGGATCACTTGGCACTGCTTAATGATCTGGAAAACAAATGGAGACATGTGCAGCACTGGGAAAAATGCAACCGGAGGAGAGCAGAAAACCCACCAAGGATAGAAAGGAGAAAGAGAATCAACACACAACCGTTTCCATATGGGAGGAGCTGAATTTATATGACTGACCTCAATGTGCAAATTGGGTCCGAATATGTGCTCCACCACGTTGTTGTGGATTAGCCAGTCTGCTAGCTCCTTTGCTATGGACCTGAAAAGATGAAGAACGACTTTCTGAATGACTCTCAATGGAGCAAAACAAAATAAAACCACCCAGAGAAAAACAATGTCGATGAGGAGGAATGGATTCTTCCTGTGATCAGGTAGTTTAGGCGTTATGGCCGACTTACGTTTCTGTGTCAGACACCAGCGACTCGTTGTTGCACACGTCGTTAAATGTGTGGAGCTGGTTCTGAGGAGAATCACAGACATGATGATGAACTGGAGTTCATCAAATAAAGCTTTATGCTGACAGAATCGCTTTGTACCAAACTGTATGCTGCATTACATCACATTACATATCAATGAAAATTACTTTTAAAAATAAGAGAATGTTACTCCATTATAATACACGTGTACCATTGAGTCCAACAAAAAAACTGTTTGAAATATTTGCTCCTAAAATGCCTTTAATTTGTGTATTTAAACATTGTTTTTTTTTATTTTTCGTCTTTCCTTCTTTGAATTGTGTTGATTGAACCCTAAAAAAATAAATAAGCTTGTCTTGTATTATATATTTAAGAACTATTTAAACTTTCCCCATCATTGTTGGTTCTTAACATAAATAGATTATTTCACTTATAAGAAGATGTATTTTCCCATAAGTGAAATAATCTGCCAGTGGAAATGGTGCTTTTTCTAATCAATATTAAGAAATAACTGACTTAAAAAAGCCCAATGTTGCAATGTTACTTAAAAGGTAGTATACTTTAAATAAGACAAAAGAGACGAGACAAAAATACTTGGTAAACCAACGGTGGGAAATTAGCTGCAAAATCTCTGACTGGTGCATTTCTAAGTAAATCGCACATTCATAAAAACATGGATGAAAGTCACATGGTTGAAGTCCTGGAGCATCTAATTACTTTGCATCAGGATTTTTCTTTTTGTTGCTCCACCACAGATGATATTGCAGTGGAAAAAGTCATGATTTTTTCAATCAGATACTCGGTTTTCTTCTATTTGTCCGTCATGGCGGATGACGCCAGTAGACTTTACTGGCTCCAATATTAATTACCATAAAGTACAAAGAAAGTCAATTACTCCGCGTCTCCTTTTGTGTTTTTACATCGGTCTTTTGAAGGGATCGTGTCTTTGTCAGGCTTGTGGGCTTCCTGACTCGGACGCTGCATGTGACTGTGTGTCGGGTCTCTCTGTCGTTAGCCGCGTGACTCACCGTGATTTGGCTGAGTCCGGCTAACCGCATGGTGAGAGTGGGAGACATGAAGTACTTGAAGGCGAGGTCCAGGCTCTCCTTGTCGAAGCACAGCGCGCTGTCCAGCGGCTCCTTCACCGTGCTCCACATCAGGTCGGCCATGTTGCGGGCGGCGCTTTGGCGCAGCTCCTGGTCGGATAGCTTACACAGGTACCTGCCGGCGGCAAAAAGCGTTCAGTCCTGCTCGTCAACGTAGATAATCCAAAATGCACAAAGGAGAAAGTTTATGTACAGACGACAAAGACACGATGGTTTGTTGTACGGGCTGCCCTCAAGGTCATAAGGTCAGCAGTGGCTTCTAGCCTTAGTTACACCACAGAATAAACTGTCAGTTAATAAACTGACATTCAAACAAACCAAAGTTTTAATAATAATACATTTCATTTGAAGGCGCCTTTCAAAGCACTCAAGGTCACCGAACAGGAAATAAAACAATAAAACAAAAACGACAAAACAATAAAAGTCATATATTCATATACCAAACAAAATTAAAAAGAAATTACATGAAGCAGAAAGTTACAGTTTCAAAACCGCTTAAATTTCATGTGTTCACCATTTATATGGTTTAAAGTCCGTTTTAAGGTGCCGGTCAGACACAGTGACCAAGAACCACGGCTGAAACGATTCATCGGATTAGTGGTGATGAACTGAGTATTGAAATAATCAACTAAATCAGTAATTGATTGATTATTAACTGGAGTATACAGATAAAAAAAATCCATTTGCTGAAAGAACACTAAGAGAACCAATGAACCAAAACTGGACAAAAAATATGAACATTTTCAATTCACAATAAAAAAAACATTTGTCTGTAAATATGTTCTACCCAAAACTCTTCAAGTGACATTTTTTGCTTCAGCCGGATCAAATTACTGTAAAAAATCCATCTATTAATCAGCTAATCCAGAAACACTGGATTGATGTCAAAACCACCAGAAAGCCGTGAGCTTTTCACATGAAGTATTTTTTAGCTGCAGATTCATCCTTTGCTACAAATAATTAAACGTTTACTAAAAAAACGCAATAAGATTTTTAATTTTCTTATGTAAAAAAATAATTTAACTGTTTGTTTATTTGGATCCCTTAGTGTTTTTCTAATATTGTATAAAAATAATAAATAACTGTTAGCTGCAGCCCTGAACAGAGTAAAGCTGGACTGCCCCGTCCCCACCTGTTGCTGCACAGTCCCAATCAGCTGGCTGAAAAGCTGCTACACTTCTTCCTCTCTGACCAGCAAAAAATTTAGCCGTTTAGAAATATCTACGGTCATGAAAAGCAAAATCACACATGGCATAAAAACGCACCATCTGTCACTCCTTTGAAGATAACTCTTAATAAAAAGTTCTCTTTAAAAAATACTCTTTAATAAAAGAGTTATCTTTAATAACTCTTAATTAGCTTGTAAAAATAAATGAACTTGTTAGACTTGTGTTGCTCTATAAAGACAACATTATAGACACAAAAACCAAATAAATAGTCTGACAAGAATGTAAATGTAATAGTTATTTTGTTTTTTAGCGACATTCTGTACCCACAGAGCATGACGACAGTTTGGGGAGAGGAAATACTTGACAACCCCGTGGTCACTCTGACACTTTCTTTCCCTTTATTAAAAGAAACTGAAGAACGTAAAAAGAGTAGAAAAAAAATTGTACCTCTTTGAAACTGGCCCATGCTTCGATGAATCTCACATTAACAAATGTAGCGTCTCTGAATTGGACAACAGCGATGCTCATTTCATTTATTCATCTAGTTTTTGCCGCTCCCCCTCAGTCGCAGGGTAATCACATGTTGCCGGTTTGGACGGACGTTTTGTTTCCGTTTCACTAAAAGTGCCTCCTCTTCCTCAAGTAAAACATTTTCGCCTTATTATTTTCCCTGTGACATGCAGGAGAGGCAGGTATGTATGCGTCACATGACCAGGCCTGCCAGACAAAACTGGAAGCCCAGCAACTGTTGCCGTGGTGACAGAAACTCTTCCTAGCAACAAACTTATGGCTCTCTGGTATTTGAGAGAGAAAGACGGCGCAGATGGAACAACGGTTGTTAAAGCTCAGTGCTCATTTTGTAAAACAGCTCAAGTCTGTTGCAGGGAGCAAACCGGTTGATATTTAAAATCATGTGAAAGTGCAGCAAGCAGGATTCCTAAATCAGGTTTGGTGGAGTCGCTAATCGGATCGGCCGAAAGCGCACAGACTCTGGCCAGAGCAGCTGTTTTAATGCAGCATTCGATAAAAGGTCAGCTCCTTAATTATCGGAGAAGGCAAGAACCAGCAGAAAACAGGGTAATTCAACAGTGTTTAAAATGACTTACAACAATTATTACCTTTTAAAAAACGTGCTAACTCACGTAGCACCAAATAAGAAAGAAAGGAAATGCTTATTTACACTGAAAGTAATCATTGCCCTTTGTGGGAAAAGCTGCATAAATAGTCATATCTTCTGTTCTGATTTACAGGAGTCGGCGGTTTGAGTGTCTCAGGTTTTTGGAAAGGGCATGAAATCTAAATGTTGCCTTTGCAGCTCATTTCTGGTCCTGAAAGCATCGAAAGGTCTCCAATAACCTGAGGGTCTGCATGGCTGTCCAGCTAATGTATTTAGACTTACAACCATTCAGTGCTCAACACACCAACACGGAAATATGTCCTTTTGCAATCAGTGAGACAATACAGTGAATTTTTTCTCTCCGTTTTTTTAGCCTCACCGAGTTTCAGTTGAATGTATTAAGTTTACATTTCAGGCCCAAAAATAATCCTGCATTATTCACTCACTGATTTTCTGAACATACCAAGTAGGTAAATGTGGTGATATAAAGTTGCACATCATCAGCATAAGAAAACCTTAACGCCAGATGTGATCTTAGGTCAATCATTTATGTAGCTGCCAAATAACAAAAAGGAGTAACAGTTCGTCAAGTAAGATTTCAGCCACAGTTACAGTGGCCAAGAGATGGAAACGCGCAGCAAACAGTGAAAGACACAAATAAAAAAAATAAAATAAAATAAAAAACGTAGCAATTACACAAGATGAAAAAGTAAATGGAAGCAAAATGGAGAATGCTGCAAATAGCAAAAACAACAGCAGGCGTGAAACGCTGCAAACTTGGTGAACAGAAATGCTCCAGACCACTAGGGGGAGTGTGGAGTTGGTAATATACCTCACGTAACTGTGTTGCTGTTTTATAATTTTGTAAAAACATGAGGAGTAGCGTGCCTTTTCTTTCTTCCTCCAATTTACTTCTAGATATCCCATTAAATTATAATATCCCATCTTTACTGTGAGGCTTTCTCCATATGATTTGATCGTCGACTCCCCCTAGTGGTCTGGAGTTTGTAGCGTTTCATAATTGCTGTTTTTACCGTGTGCAGCATTTTCCCTTTTTCTTCTGTTTCCTGTTATTGCAGCATCTTAGTTTGCTTTTGTTTTGTAGATTGTTTTTTTTTTTGCATCCATGTTCTGTGATTTCAGCTTTTTGTTGTTTTTTTTTTTTTGCATCATTTTTCTCTTGCATTTATTTGCTGTGCTTTGGACGTTGCATCATTCATTTGCTTGCTGCACGTTTAGCAGTTTGCAGCAAATTTGCACCCGTCGGCCACCGTACACAGCAGCAGACAATCCTACGCCAACAATCAACTGTAAGAAGCTAAAAGCTCTTAGGTACCTCCACATATAAACTTTACTAAAATTAACAAAAAGACTTGGATCATTTTAAATAATTTGATTACATCTCAGTCTGTAGGGAAAACAGGTTTTATGTTAAACCAACAAGAAGGAACTACAGCTTGTTAAAAAAATGCAAAAACTGTCCAGTGTGGTTTTATTTTCTAATGAAAGTGAATCAGCATGTTTGTAACTTACCGTATTACATAGGTGCGGAAGGGTATGATGTGCTGCATAACTGCAGGAATGTGCAACCATATTCGTATCTGTGGGAGGTTTAAAAAAAGAATCATACTAATTATTCATAATGTCGCACACAGAATTAGTAATAGTATGAGAAAATGGAAGTTTGCTGGAGAAAATATGGAATTAAAGAAAAAAAAATGCTGCTTTTTCCAACTTAGAGTGAGTATTTTCCTCAGTATATGAGTAAGAGTGCAACTAACAGAACATCTGACTCACATTTGAGACAATTGTGATAAAGGCATGAGCGATGGGGAAGGGGAGGCTCTCTGGTGTGCCCAGCTCAAAGCATTCCTTCATCAGGGAGAGGCCGTGTTTCCCACAAAACAGACAGACGTAGCGAAGGAGGTGAAGCGGCACCTCCACGTCCTGCATTAAGAATCAAAATAAAGTCATAATATGTTCATTTTGCATCCTAACATAAACAAAAATGACCAACAAATCAAATAGACCTTACAAATACACATTTTGTTTACTTTAAGATTTGGTTCAAACTTAGTCCTGAAAACAATTCCTTATCCATAAAGAAAACATTTTTAAAAATACAGAAATTAACCAAAGGTGGAAATAGTTATTCCAGGATTTCTGAAGCAAAGTCTTGTTAAAAAGTTGTAAGCAGGTAATATCTAACCTGGAGTAGAAAACTCTCCTTGAAATCCTCATTTTGTTTTAATATAAGCTCGACTTGTAACATGATGCTAAATGCTAATCCAAGTGTTGAGAAGAAAGTTTATTTCGACAGCTTTAAACCAACGTCAAAAACATAATAAAAGTTTGGCTAATGCTTTTTCATGAACCTTTAAAATGTTCTCATGTTTGTTTCAGATCATCATTTCCAGATAAGCTGAGGAATATTTGCACAGGAAAAGGAGGTGGGAGGACGTGTACAATCAATAATCGTTTTGAAACACAAAGTTTTGTTCACAGAACTACTTTCATGTCACGCTAGATGAACAGAACCGCAACTAAACGAGGAAATACACACGAGATAATTTAGTGCAGGAACGGGAGGAAAAAACTCCCATTTCTGGTGAACTGAATCTGACCCTGCAACATATTGACCAGATGGAAACAAAGCAGCAAGGAAGCCTCGTTACCACAGAGATTACGTTACACTTACTGCACTGTTTTCACTGACAAAACAATGGAAGGTAAGAAACTTCTGCAACAGTTAACCAAACAAAGCAAAAAGACTCGCACAACAGAAACAAGAACGAAAACTATGATGTCAGTCAGTTCTGACTATTTAAATAAAACCTTTTAGGGACATTCATGTTTGACATAGATCATATTGTAGTGTGAACAATTATCTGAAAAACACAAATATCTGTCACATATCTCAAAACAGGAAACACGAAGGCTCTTTTTCATAAAAAGTAGAAATCATAGCTTACAGGACGTATTTAAATCTTGCTGATTCATGGAACAAAACAGAGTTAATACACTGGAAGCCGAAACTTTACACAATGTCCAAATATGGACATTCAGTACTTTGAGTTTCAGGTTTCTCTGGCCAAACGTCAGAAAACTAACAGTCTGTGCCTCGTAGTATGACGTCTAAATCAAACGCAGAATGAAAAAGATGCATGACACAAGAGACTGCTGGAAAATACAAAATACAACTCATTTGAAGATTTGAAGTAAACCTGATTTCACTTAAAAAAAAAACTGAATGGGATGCAAACAAAACTGGTGACATTTGTTACAAATATTTACAGTAATTACAGTAAGTATTAACTCGCGAAACTACTAAATTATGAGCATTTTGGTCTGTGTGGTCCTGAAATGCCAGATGGTGTTTAGAAATTCTGGCTAAAACACCAAAAAAAAATCTCCCATTTGCAGCTCCGTTTATGAACCGCACCCATAAAACTCGTCCCAACAGTGAATAACAGATATAACATGAAAATATATATATACAAATCACAGACAAAACAAAACACCAACTGCCCTTATTTCAAAAGTTTCCATCCATTATGTTTTAATGAGGTTAAAGTTATTTGTGAGGAACTAACTAAGAGGTGTAATAGTATAATTTGAGGAAGAAAAAGTAACAAAGGTTCTTACATTCATGTCGCAGAAGGAGCCCAGGATGTTGCTTTCATGAGCAGATATGTCCTGGGAATAATAATAAAAAAGGAAAAACAAAAATGGCACCAGCTGGTTAATAAAACATGAATGGCAAATACCAAAAGTAATCTAAAAAACTCTTTTACATGGCCTGGGTGATACTGCCAAAAAATGATAGTACAATAAACATTTTACAATAGTTTTCACAATAAATAGCGATATTACAGAAGAGTTTTTTTTTATTTATTTGGTCAAACAAATGTGTAACTACAAAACAAAGATTTTTTAAATTTCCTTTATAAGCAGTCACCAGAAGAAAAAAATATATCTAAATATAAATACATACAAATCACACAATACGCTTAGAGCGTCAAAGAAAATACCGTATTTTTCGGAGTATAAGCTGCTACCTTTTTCCCGCGCTTTGAACATGGCGAGTTGTTCAAGATATTATTTTATTTAAAAACTCAAACAATATGCGCAAAACTAAGAATCTCTTCCTTTTAAATCATTTCAAAAGGATTTAAATCTGTATTTTAACTTTCCTTTAAAAAATGCTCAACACCAAAATATATGAAACATAAAAAACCTGCACAAAGTAAAAGCCTGTGCTCACTTCCTAATGATCAGGAAATGTGTTTAACTTGAAGCAATGACTGTGTCAGTGTTTGGTGTTTAACTTTACATGTTGAGTTTTTTTAAGGAAAACATGGTAAAATTAAGTTACATTACAAAATAAAATGCATTACATTATCAAAAGCAAAATGCTCACTAACTCCTTCAATTGCTTTCTTCCCACACTTTGAAGCTCAGTAGGACGTTTGGGTTAGTTACATGTAGGACTTGTTCTCACCTCTATGGTGGGGTGCGTGTTGTGTTTGTAGGCCGTGTAGAGAGGAAACTGGATCTGAAAAATCTTGGCCGCACACAGCAGCAGTTTTTCTTTCTCCTCTGTGGTCCAAGAGCTGAAGGGGTCCAGGTTGTCGCCTCCGCCTCCAGCAGAGTTCTCCCCATTCCCAGACTCGCTGCCACCGTCCAGAGGTCCCAGCGGGTTCGCTTGGCCTCCATCTGGCCGAATTGTGTCCTGCTCGTGGCTCTGAGTCTTCTTCTGGTTTGGGTCGGGTGTGTTGGCGTCCTCTTCAGCAGAGTCCCTTTCCACATTGACGGGTTCGTCCTCGCCGGGGGAGGCCGGCTGGGGGAGCGAGCCGGGTGCAGACTCTCCGGCGGCCCAGTCGGGCCTGCCCTCTTCGGTCCCAGACCCTTTGTGCGTGAGGTTCTGGGCGCTGCAAAGCTGGTTTCTCAGGCTGTTGATCTGAGTGATGACCAGGTTTATGAGGGCGTACACCAGCTGATTAAAAACCTCCAAGTGCTTGTACTCTTTGAAGCAGCACAGACATTGCCTGGAAGAAGAAGGAGAAAAGCACAAAAGATTACGGTTTTCATTTTGACTGGTACCGGGATGGCCAGGAAGTAATCCATTTTGTCTCCACTCTTTTAGAACACCAACATTTAGCTGTTTAATTTAAAAATGTGTTGGCAAATGAAGTCAGAGAAAGTAGGAACAACATACAAGGAAACAATCTTCCAGCTCTGAAGACACTGGTACAGTCGTTTGTTATTAAACTAATCTTATTTTTGCATGATTGTGGACATGAATATCCGGTTGGTTCTTATTTTGTTTCTTTTGGTTGGACCTTGAGTCTGAAATAAAGATTTTATCTATCCATCTATCAAAGATGCCCGACTGCAGCTACAGTTAGTGATGCTGGGCAATTTCATCAATCTCAGTGTAAATACACAAACTGCACAGATTTTTTTAGCAGGCATATTTCTAGGAAACACTGCATGTCTTTAAAAGTTAACAGGCATGCGGAGCAGTAGGGGAGGTCACTCAAATGAACAGAACAGGAAGTGCTTTTATTTTGATAAGCAGAATCTGTCTGTTCCACGGGATTTGCTCCTAGGAAACATTTATGCTATATAGAGAAAACATCCTAGAAAAATACATTCTTTTCACTTTTTTGTTCCTTTTTTCATGTTAGCCTCCCTGCAGAATCGATGGGATTCGTCCAGCAGGAAGAAGACTGACCTCTGAGACCAGGAGCTGATGTAGCCCAGCACTCGCAACGCATGTTCCTTCTTCAGCTGGAAGCCTCCTTCACTGCCGTCTGCATCAGATACTGAGGAAAAAACACAAACCACAAATTAATGGAAAACCTTAAAAATACAAAACACTTGTTTTAGTTCATTTTTTTTTTTTTACTTTTAATGAAAACACCCCAAAACAAAAATCAAATGAAGCTTGCTGTCCTCCCAAGTGTCGAATAAATGTAAACATTATATTCAGTTTTTTTAACCATCTACATGCTGCAATGCCAATAAAAGAAAAACGCCATAAACAGACAGAGCAGTGTGCATGTTATGACAGCATCACTTTTATTAAAAAGTGTGACTTTTAATGAAGAAAATATTTCTACCCTGCAGTATAACCCTTTACACAGAAATACTGCTGTAAGCCTCCAAAACGGATTATTTCAGTGAGGACAGAGATCTAAAATAATTTAAAATAACACTGCTTTTCAAAAAAAATTTTTTTGAAGTTTTCTTTTTTTTTTTTTTTTTTTAAATGAATTAGGAATATTTTGCACAGCTAAATCCAAAGATAAGATCCATTTTCTAAATCAGGTCAGGTTTTTATTCTAATTTGATTTAGAGAAATCCGATCTTCTGACTAAATTGATGACATTTTTGTGACATTATCAGTTCCATATGTGAGAACAAGTTATGCATTTTGAAGCTCATGTTGCATCCATAGTTCAGGGAGTTGACATGACTGAGAAAAACCAATGTGATCTTTTTGATTCAGCACATCAAAGTTACCCTAAAACAGTTGAAAAAAAACCCAGACAGTTTTTTGGCTGTTGACCAGTGTAATATTTACAAAATGTTTGTTGACTTGAGTTGCTAAAAATCGACATCGGAAAGTCAAAGACAGTGTACAAGATTGAAAAAAGACCATAAAACTGTGATTTCTGCGTCATTACTCGTTATAAATATTATTATAACCCAACTCTAATTTAAACTTTTATACAACTTTTCCCCTGATCCATCCGCTGTGTCTCTTGGCCTTCGAGACGCTTTTTGCTCACTAATGTTCTCTAAACATCCGAGTCCTTCACAGAACAGATAAAATCTCTTACTAATGTCACTTCCAGGCATCCGTTTCTTCTGCCAGATGTGGAGTTTTTTAGATAACGTTCAACATTTTTCCCTTACAGCCCAGAAATCTATGACCTGCATCTAATGCACTACTCTCTTCAGAGTAGTGAGCTGTAAATGTGGTTAAACTTAACAGAATTAAGCAGGCAGAGGGGAATAAATTCACCTTAGAATCAGCTGCAAACTCATTTTTAGCCGTTGTTATTAGACCAGTCAGAATAACTAACTTAGCTGGACGATAAATTGTCCCAGGAGTTATTGCGATAAATGATAACTAATGGTAGTGGCATTAACTGTGCCAGAACACATTGTCAAAGATTAATAAACTTTAAATGAAAATGTAACACTGCAACTGGAAGACATCTTTAAATATCTAAATTACATGAACAAAAACAACAAATAAAATTAATTACGAAGTCTTTCAAAAAAACGGATTAGATGAGACCAAAACACCAGACTGAAAACTTTTATCGCCCAGTTTTTGGTAGAAAGAGAAAAACAATAAATCACACATGCATAAACATTTGAGCTCATTTTAATTCATGCAATTAATTGTTTTCTTGGTTATTGCGACAGGCCTAATTGTAATAAATACATAGATGAAAACATGTGAACTTTTTGTTCATCTTTATATGTTCTTGTCTGTCAATAAAAAATAAATAAATCCCGCTCTAGTCATACCAATGGCTTTTAATGGCACGAGAGTGGCTTGCTTCTCATATTACAGTCATTGTTCTGGCCTCCATGCAGCGCCACAAAGCTCCCACCCAGCCTGACGGAGTCAAGTAACCTCCCTGAACCATCGTCCTCAATTTGCCACCAAAGACTCCCAACATGAAACAGAACCAGCAGGGTTCGGCCCGGCACTCTGGTCCCACAGGCGGGATCGTTTCCAGCTCCAAGTGAGAGCAGAAGTTCGTCGTACGGACCGCGACACATGCAGCTCAGGAATTTCAAGCCCTCCATGAGGAGTTCCTGCAGCAGGCTAACAGGTGTTGCACGGAGTGGAGGGATACACAAAGAAATTACAGACCTCAATACAGGCATCTTAAATATTCACATCCTGAGATGTTTAAGTGTTAGTGAAACCATAGTAGAGGCCGTTCAGCTGGAATGTATTTAGTCTAGGACAATTAATTATGTTCATTTTTCACTTAAGCTTTTTTTTTAAGTAACATTATACAAGGTTTCCCCCAGAAAACTCGCTAAGCCTGGTGGTTGGGTGGCAGGACAGTCATTCATCCAGCCGCCAGTCGTGTTTTTGAGTTAAAAAATGTTTAAATTTCACAGGAAATTTGATCACTAGATAATTATGTGCTATTGAAAGATTAATACCTGAACACCAACTATAAAGTCTTGAAAAATGCAAACATTTTAAAAAGACTTAGATAAACGAGCAATGCTTTGCCTGGTGGCCCGCCGGGATTATAATACACTGGGAGAAAACTTGTTAGAAATACATTAAAAGATGCAAATAAACAGAATCCTTTTTAAATTAAACATTTTATTGGCTGAAATTAAATAAAACAGCATTCTTTTAGCCTAAAAAAAAAAACCATCTGACGTCAACATTTGAAAAGTTCAGCCCTTGCTGCTTGACTTATCAATACAGTGTAGGGCTGATCTGTTATTATAAACAGTTTCAACTGTGTGAAGACATTTGCGAATGTTGCTTGTTCGTCAGATTTAAAGGCAAGCTAAAAACATCCCTAACATGTAATGAACAAAGAAAAAAAAAAGAAAATTAATGAAAATGTTAACATATTCAATTTTTTAGCTATTTAATTAATTAATTAAAATAAATGCATCAGAGTTTTGGCCCTATGCAAGTTCATTGAGCATGAACAGTTTTCCAAGACTTGTTTCCCTGAAGTAATTATACGTTTTTGTCCGGATGCTGTGAAACATTGGACATGAAAAATCAATACTGCAATAAATAAATGTAATTAAAAAGTACTGGAACGAGTCTAAGAACTCGTTTCAGGTAGAAAAGAAACATCCAAACAGTTTGCACTGATAAAAATTGGCTCCATTTGCCAGTGAATAATGTACTGACGTCATCTTCAAACTGTACGTTGAAAATGGGGGAAAAAAAGATTAAGACAGAAAAAGCCTAAACTCTCTGTATGGATGTCTTTAAGAAATGATTTGTGAAAAGCTTCGGGAGCGAATTAAGCCTCATTTTAGTGACATTTCTGGAGTTGGAATAAATTTCGAGGCGAACAATGAAAATGTTTTTCATCTTTTCTAAGAATGCAAAAAACTGACGGAGCTTTCTATTGGTCACAATTAGAGATGCACCGATCCACTTTCTCACTTCTGATACCGATATGTTAGCTTTAGTTTCAGCCGATACCGATCCAACAAAGGAAAACAGAGTTGAATTGACTTAAAAGGTTACTTTTTTTAAACCTAAATACACCAATAGCTTCACAGGCTTGGCCAAACATTTAAAAACAACTTTAATTTGTTCAGTCAGTGAAACTGGGAGTAAAACAGCCAATGTAAAATAAATAAAGAAAACTGACAAAAATAGGTTGACTATGTTGATCAAACGTGTATAAATAAACTGCAACAAATCTTTTAAATAGTTCAGAAAGTGCAATTAGGAATTATAAATATAATATAAAATAATAAAGCATTACACTGCTCAGAGCTCAAAGCATAGAATTAGACTGAATAGATCTGCCCTTATGGATCAGGCACATCTAGATAGCCAATCTAGATATTTTCAAACATTTTTGCCGGTACAGAGATTAATATCAGAGTGATTAATCTCTAATCAAGATGAAAACATAAAATCATCTGGCTAACAACACATATTTATGCATAATGTTAAAGTGTTGTATATTTGTCATGCGTACTACATCCATATTGTGATTCCTGAACGTATGAGAGCAAATAACACACATTCAACTTCTGCTCCAGCTTCTTGAACCACAAAGAGTCCTGAATAAGTCAGAACAAACTCAAACAAGATTTAAATACAGCAGCTGCACTGCTTACACACCCTCTCTAATCCATTCATTTCATAAAACCAACTAAACCGATTCAAGAGAAGTGATTTGTAAACCAGAAGCTGCTCTTTTCTTTTTTTTTTTAGCAGAAAAATATTTTAGTTTTTTGCTCTGATCTTTTGGGCTCAAACACAGAAAGCCTGATTGGCTCACATGAGGCACCAAGTGAGAAAAGTTTCACTTTTATTTCACGTTAAAGCTGGATTTATATCTCCAAAGCTTTGTGTTAGCATTGTTTACAGACTGTGAGAGTAAATCCATCAGATTATCTCTCACTTAAAGACACAGATGCATGAATAAATAAAACGGATATTAATCACAATATTTATGCAGGTTACTTAGATTGGCGGTTGTACAGTTGGGAAGTGACAGTTGCATGCAACTTTGCATACAACAGTCCTGCATGTTATTAAACTGGATTTTCCTGCTCCATTTCTCAAAAACGCATGCTGCTGCTGCAGACCTAAGGTCACAGGTCACCTTCAGACACAGCATATGGAGCTGCCAGTCTTGTTGACAGAGCGGTCACAGCTGACGGCACCCCATGGTCAAACACCCTCCGTTCTGTTGCTCCAGTTATTATACGCCGTTTCTCCGTGTGATGTAGTAAAATCTGCTGTCTAATAAGCCGAAACATTCAGAGGAGATTTGCATTTACAGACTGACAAGGTGGCAAAGAGTCAATCAGTACTAATATGAATATTTTGTTCCATCCTGACTAATAATACAGAACGATTTAGGGCTGCGGCCACAATTAACCATCTTAGAAAGTGATTATTTTATGTATGAATGCAAGATGTGGATTTTCTGTTCGGCTTGTTTTGGTTGAATATTAATTGAAATGAATAGAAATTAAATACAGCTGACTTAATATGTAATCTTGGATAAAATAGAAAGAATTTTTTTTATTCGATCAGTCAAAAAAAAAAGTGAAACATGACCCA